AGTATTATCACTCAGGGATCTTCCAAGAAAGAGGGCAAGCACAACACTCTCACCTTTCAGGGCTGTGCCCAAGTCCCCCTTGCCCCCCAACTCAAGTGAACACCATGAGAACAATTTCAGACACAACAGTATAACAGGTCAAAGATTTTTTACCAAGCCCATAAAAATCCTTTAGATCATAGATTAATAAGCAACACGTGTGCAAGGTTACTTTAGGAATAACGGCCACACGCATGGGATGGTAGAGGGGCAGTAAGGGCTCCCCTTTTACCCAACTAGTGCCTTCAACTGTCTGTCCCTTTGGAGATTCATCCTTTTGACCTGAAGTAACTATTGTCAAAGAGTGTAAACTTATCAACTCTTTCCTGAGAGCAAAATTTCAGAGGAAAAGCTGGGGAGAGAACATTGTTACAGCGAGCACTGGGGGAGGAGGGGGGTGGTCCCAAGAAACAAGGGAAACAGGAAAGGGGCGAAGGGGAAACGAGACGAAGCGAGGGCCTTGAAGACAAACAACACTTACTTCACAGCTTTGCCTCCTCCTGGAAATCATTCCTTGTACTCAGTTTGTGGAGCTCAGGTGACCAGAGGTAGTGGTGTTCTCAAGCCACAGGGACCCAGGTTTCCCCCCAGAAGCCCACCGGAGCCCTGTCGGTCTCTGGGCCAGGTGAGAGGAACGGGAAACCGCCAGCCTGGGAGATCGGCCACCTCCATTCTGGCGATCAGTGCCGGACACGGAAGCCAGATGGCCTTCACATCCGGACACCGGGCAGGTTGGACATCCCCGCGACGCCCCACCTATGACCATCAGGGATCAGTCATTTCGCTTGTAGGCCCAACTGGATGCAAAAGTTGAGTAGCAGAACCACTAAATCATTTTAGAAAGAACTGGATTGATAGGAATTTTGTACTTAAAACAAGCAGGATTGTTGTTATCTTTGCAAAGACTTGGGTTTGGGTGTTCCTATAGCATGCTTTAAAAAAATGAAATAAAATCACTGCCATAATGGACAAAATTCCCATTTTCCAGATTGCTAAACAGAGACATAAGGAAGTTACTGAAAGTAAAATAAAATAAATAAGAAAATTACCAAAATTGCAGAGTTTATCATACACAGACCCAGCGTTAATCCTCCACCAGGAAGGCCCCGCCCCACCAACCATGCCAGCTACTCTGATGGTCACCCAGGGTCTCTACCCACTGGAGGGGGGTGTCGATCGTTAATAGCACAGCGGATTCCCTTCTCCCCTCAAGGAAACTCAAGCTAAAGTTACCTCTAGTCCAGTTTTATGCAGTGTCTGTAAATTGTCATTTTTCATTTTCTAAATACATCCAGGAGGTTAAAACCCAAATACTACTAAGGGATAACGTGTAAATAATTCCTCCCTCCCTCTCCTGACTTCATAACAGAAATTCTGACTTAAAATTGTATTTGATCATCTCTATAGAAACTATTTTTAAGCTTCCAGAGGAAGCCCAAAGCTCTAATAATTCAGGATCTAACAGGCAAGTCCATACTCATACTCTTCTGTGTTTCATTATTTCATATACTTTGAGCCTATGTCCTTCTGGACCGAGAAGTCTTCTTCGAAACTAAAGAAATGAGAAAATCATTGCTCCTGATGGCCCCCAGACAGCCCCTGAGAGACCTTAAAATCCCTGCCTCAGGCTACTTAAACCTTCTACGCTTTTAAAATCACGTAGGTGACAAGGGCATTAGCAATCCTGCCTGCGGTAACTAAGTCCCCAGTTGAGCAAATAGAGTGATCACGCTAGGAAGGCTTGGTGACTGTCACTCTCAGTTAAACATTAGCTGCCTTGGGGCTCTGCAGGTTTGGATGGCCCAGTCATCGTCTCCCATCCTCAGACTCTGTTCTTGCTGTTTAACTCTGGATGCTTCATTCAATGAGCAAAAGCCTGGGCTTTGAAGGCAGGCAGCCTTGCATTTAAATTCCATCAGTAATTAGCTGTGGGACCTTTCACCAAGTCGCTTAAGCTCGTGAAGCCTCAATTTTCTTAATTGTAGAATAAAAATAATAAAAATGACTCTTTCATTGGGTCATTAAGAGGGTTCGATGGTATAACTTTTGAGAAGCACTACATACAATGCCTTTCAGGAGGACCAACGACATGATCCATGGGACTCCGTGCAAAATGGAAAGTTGGAGCCCCCTGTCCCGAAGCCTTTATGGATGGCAAGATGGCGACAGGAGAGCATCAGACCAAGGCCCGTGGGCTGCACAGGGGGCAGCTCATGAGGCCAGCCCTCCCTTTCATACCATACGTACTCAATAGACGGTAGCTGTTATCGTATCTTACCACTTTCCTAATTGACCGCTGTGCCTTACCCTCCCTGCAGACTCTTCTGTCTTTACACAATGCCCAACGCACTGAACTGGGAACGTTTTACCAGGTCATTCCGAACACAGGCACTGTGCCCCAGAAGTTAGCCATACTTATGAAGAAAATAACTGATTGAAATGAGGGGAGTCTAAAACAGAAAATACCGTCACAGACCCATTCCCACCGTAGGGCCTTCACTCTGGCTTTTCATCCTGCTCGGCCAACATCCTCCCCTCCTTCAAGCCTTTGTTCACATCCACTTCCTCTCTGGGGCTTATTCTGATTACTCAACTCAATAGCCTATTTTGCCCTTCCTCCATCTCCCTCACCTTGTTTTACTTTTATTTTTCAATAGCACTTGCATTGTCCAACATACTATTTTAGGTGGGTCACTTGTTTATCTTCCCCTGCACACACACACACACACACACACACACACACACACACACACACATACACTAGAATGTAAGCTTCTTAAGGCCAAGAATTTTTGCCTGCTTTCATTCACTCGTGTATCACAATTGTGTAGAACAGTGGTTGGCACACAGCGGGCATTCAATAACTATTAATCAAAAGAACAAACAAATCTTTGAGTGAATGCCTAATCGGGCTATCTTTTTTCTACCTGGAGGTCAGTCCCTTCCACATTATGGACAAATGGCAATAATAACCAGCTCCGCAACTGGATACCCGACAGAGTTTAAGAAACAGATGGGGAAGTTATCTACTTTCAAATCTCTGCCAAACCCCTTTTAGTTTAGAAGGAATATAATCCAAGCGTCTATGCTACTAAACCCAATACCTCTTTCAACACTAATTCATATACGCAATTTACTGGCAATGACTTGAGACAATTGTGAGTGGTATTTTCTACGAGTGAAATCTGCAGAAGAGAAATGTGTCCCTAAGTGATGAACATAAAGTCATTTAAAGAAAAATCAGGAGAAAAATAATCACACATCACTGCTTTACTACAATGACACAGAAAATCCCAGCCCTTCATACCAAAAGGAAGGTTAGAGCCCTGTTCCTGCAACAGTGTGGGAAGGTGTGAGAGCCAGTCCGAGCTGTTCTGCCCGGAATGAATGTCACAGTCACAGGCACTATCTCAAACTCTGGCCTGTGATCTCACCCGCACAAGCCCCAGAGCCCAAGAAAGGAAATGTGGACGCCTGTGCACACTTCATCCCACTGGTTCAGAGACAACCCCCAAACTGTGACATCGGAGCTGCTAGATGAGACAACCCTCAGTGTCCTTAAGAACAAAAGAGAAGAGCTGTCCTCCCCAAATGGTTCAAGTGCAGTCCATGTCAGGAGAAACATCTGGTGCATCCAATTATCAGAAGATCTCTGAGGGCCAGCGTGCTCTGAGTTCCGCACTGACGACAGGAAGCACGTCTGGGCCCTCCATCCAAATTGGGCCCACGCGGTCTGCGGGCTGGACCCATGGAGCAACGCCTGGCAGCTCACACTACACATCTGGCTTGTGCCCCAGCATGAACTACCATTCCCTCTCAGCCCTGCACTCTGCATTTTTTAAACAAACCATTCTCAGCCACCACAAATGCTTTGGTGGGAATCACAGGGAGGCCCTCATCCCTTTTCCCAAAATAACGTCGGGCAGAGGCAAAGGCCAAAGAGGTGGAGCCTGCAGGCCATTTTGCAAAAGTTTCAAATATCCTGGCACTGACCCCATTAAAAGAATCATGAAGGGGAAACAGCCAAGCCTCTCGTTTTCTCATTAGTGTTGTCTTCTCTCCCTCCCTCCCTCTCTCTCGCTCTCCCCCTCCCACCTCTCTCTCTCTCACACACACACCCCTATGCATTTATTTTAAAAAGAAACAAAGATTTCACAGTCATTAAACAGTACTGGCTGCTGAAAATAAAATTTCATTTTGCATATGTAAAAAAAATTGGAATTGAAAACTCTCAAAGAAATGTCTTTGCTCTGTGCCAGCTTAATCCCCAAAGGGATCTCAGACATTAGACTGAACAAGGAACTGGTGAGCTGTCCCACCTTCTCCACGGACTTTCTGAAATATGCAGCTGCCTCAGATTTTCCAGACTCCTCTGCTGATCTTCCCTCAGAAGAGGGAGGAAGCAGATTTCTCCGCCATACAGTCAAAGGAGCCAAATAAAGCAATTTTCCTCCTCATTCGATGGGGCCTTATACACACACACACACACACACACACACACACGGGTGTTCTTGTTGAAATATTAATAAGGAAGTAAAGGAAAAGAAAGAATATGACAGGGAAGGAAAGAAAATGCCACTTAATTTTGTTAAGGATTTAAAAACCTTCCCACAAAAATCTAACTAAAAACAGAGGCATATTATTCTCAAAATACCTTACCCTTCTCCCATTTTAACATATTGATAGCAATAGGAAATGATAATGCAGAGGTGAAAAAGCTTGGGGGGAAAAGTAAAAATGTCTAAAGCAAAAACATTGTCATAACTAGTATTGAGAGTTAAAAGGGGCCAGCTGCCCACCTTTAATCAGACGGAAGAACCACGCCTCTTCCCAGACCTTTTCATTCTGGGCATACTGCTTCCCAAACACTTCCATCCCAGTTCCCTTTCCCCAGCTGTTCCTCTGCTGACAGCAATCCCCCTATCAAGCCGCCCTGTCCGCCCCACCGCCCGTGTCCTCACCGTGTGATACATGAGAGCCTCGGTGTCCCCGGGCTCTGACAGCTCGCTCAGCTTGCGGTCCCACTGCAGGACGCTCTGCTCCCCGCTCTCGGGCACCTCCATGGTGGTCCGAGGCGCGACGGGCCGAGGATGCTGAGCGCAGGAGAGGAGCGTGCAGAACCGCCTCGGAGGGCGAGATCCGGCTCCTCGCGTGTGTGTGTGCGCGCGCGCGCTCGTGTGTGCGTGTGGCTTATGCACTTAGGAAGGAAAAAGTTCGCTCCCCTGCCAGAGAGAGAACTGCCAAAGGCTCCCCGTCCGGTATCCTCGGAGATCTGAAAATCCCCTGACGAGACAAGCTGTCGAGGAATCGGGCTAAGGCTGAAAGGGTTAAAGCAGAGTGTGTATCCAAAAAGAAGATAAGAGAACAGCTCTCATCCCAAGAAAACGCCTTTTCGTTAAGCCCACTTTCCACTACTGCTGCAGACACAAACTTTGAGACTCCCCAGAGAGCCTCTCAGCTTGGTTTCAGGACCCACCTACGACTCCAAGACCCACCTATGACTCCACCTCCCTCCAGGGAAATGACCAATCGGATACTCACTTCGCCCGCTCCACCCAATCACAAGTCTTTTTCTCCTCCTGTCCCGCCCCCAAAGTCAGGGGCCACGGGATGTCTGGGCCCAGGCTTTGGAATGTGGGCGGGAGGTGCCTTTGACGTCATAGGGGAACTCCTCCAGCCCGACCTCCGGCCGCCGCCGTCTGCAGTAGCGGACCAATAGAGTGCTTGAGCTCTGGAGCGATAGCCTGGCGTGGAAGCCAATGAAAATGGGGTGCCTCGGAAGGACAGCCAATCGAATAACGACAAGAATACATTTTTATAAAGGAGGAGGGTGAGCTCAGTGTCCTCTCGGAGACTCCCCAGAAATTAGCAGGCGCATCTGGAGGAGGAGGGAGTCGCTCTGCGACCAGATTTATATGTTATTGTAACTATTTTCCAGCACATTAGCTCACTGGAGTCTTTCAGGATTTTTAAAATATGAATTACGTATTATACAAAAATATAAAAATTCTCCATTACGCTTGAATTCGTATTAGCACAGTTCTAGCAACAGTGCTAATTGCCTCTTCTTCACAATTTTCGCCCTTTTTGTTATGCAGCATTTGCTGCTGATCTGTATTTTATGGGCTTCACTTTACTTTTACTTATTTTTACTTTCACTCACTCAAAAGATACTATTGACAAGAGCCAATGTCTTGCTTTTCCAGGTTCTAGTGAGCTCAAGACCTCGAATTCAGTGGAGGAGTCAGATAATAAACAGATTTTTCAATAAAGGCATAATATAATTTAAGAAAGTGGTAACTTCTATGAAGAAAAATAAAAGCAAGGTAAGAGCAAGGGGCAGCCTTATGCTATTTTAGATAGCAGTCAGAGAAGTTCCGTTTGAACGGGGCACTGAATGAAATGAGGTTTGGGGAGGAGCTTGAGCTGGTGTTCTGTGAACGAACAGGGGGGCCAGTGTGCCTGCAGCGTGATGTGCTGGGCAGTGAGTGTTGGGAGAGGAGGTTTGAGAGACAGGCTGGAGCCCCACCACCAGTCCTGCCAAGATTAGGAAAGAGCCTATTCTAAAGTCTTTCCTCCAACGCTGTGATTTTTTTTCTTCCTCCTTTTACACTCCTTTTAAGAAAACAAAGTCATTTGAAATATAAAGGAGCCTTTGCCAATTGCCTCTCGAAGTTCCTTACAATGGCACATTCAGGTATTAGGAATTACTTTGTCACCTTGGCAAGTATTTATATATTTTGGTAGTTGGGGTCAGTCAAGTCTATAAAAGCCCTGTTGTTTTTAAGCAATAGTGTATTATAGTAGCTATCTCATTTGTCTGGTCCCGTCTCCTGGGTCTTTCATGCCTAAGTGGAAATTCTACTTTATCCTCATGCATTTTCCTTGTACCCTATTTTTCTCTTTGTCTTTGTAGCATAACACTTAACGCAAGCTAGTGAGGTAAGAAACATGTACACCCTCCTGAGTACTGGCATACAAACACGTATCTGCCAAACACTTTGGCTTTGGAGAGTCAGCCCTCGTTATCTGCCACATGTGACAGGCAGCTTCTGAGTCGGCACCAAAGAGCCTGCCTCCTGGTGTCCCTGCCCCGTGTGACACCTCGCGTGTGGGCTGGGCCTGTGACTCCCTCCTAACAGCACAAATGATGGGCTGTCAAAAACCATTCTGCCTCCATTACTGGCCTGAAGGGGTCTGTTTGCTTGCACGCATTAAAGCTCAATAAGACACAAACAAGAGCTCACAGCCAAGAAAATAAGGATTTATTAAGGAGGTGGCACCATGCCCAGAGTCACAGGTAGCTCATGTTCAAAGGCTTGGCTCCCAGGTGGCTTCCAGGGGGTGGTGTATACAGTAGGAAAATCATTGTCAGAGCAGCTATAGGAGTTAGGGTCATGGTCGGGGGCGGGGTCTCTTCTGATTGGTGAGCACCAGGGTAGGAGTTAGGTGGTCGATCACGGCCTCGGGTCCTGAGGTCAGCCATGGTGTGGCTTCCCCGGCTTTCTCAAGGATGCAGTTGGTGGGGTCATTCTGGAGCTGACACAGGACTGAGGCCTAAGTGTTACCCCTAATTTGACTAAAACTCTCTGTGGTCAACAGACCTGAGGCTTGTTCCTATGACTCCTGGATGCTGACCAGAGCCTCATTGTCCTGAGGGCTTAATGCTTAAGTGAGGGAGAGCCAGGGTGCTGAGTCAGGCACTAGAGGAGGCCAATTTGAGTCAAAGGAAAAAAATCAAAATAACAGGGCAGATTAAAGAAAATAAGGTTTCTGCGCAGTTACACTCTTAAATTGTTTGCTCTGTCTTCCTCGATTGCTTGCTGGCTTGCTTCCGGAGTAGCAGGCTGCCATGCAGGGAGCCGCCCGGTGGGGAGGCCCATATAGCAAGGAACTGAGAAAGATGTCCAGCCAACAGCCAGCAAGAAACTGAAGTCCCCAGTCCAACAACCCAGGAGCACCTGCTTCCTGCTAATAAACAGGAGTGAATATGTGAGCAGGTCCTCCCCAGTGGAGCCTTAGGGTCCCTGCAGCCTTGGGAGAGACCCCACCCAGATTCCTGACCCAGGAGAACGAAAGGGGACAAATGGATGTTATTTTGAGCCACAGGGTCTTTCCTTCATAAAATAAGTAATATGATCATTGGTACCCTGAATGATTAATTAAACTTTTCTGCACCCTGCTAATGTCACAATCCCTCACAGTGCGTTTTTTTCAGCCTCCCTGGTTTTGTATATGCTTCTGCCATTCAGTGTGTACGAGGCTTCTCTCACTAGCCCAGCTTTCCTTCCATACCCTGAATCGAGAGCTTGTCCCGCTCCCTCTCATGTTTGAGGACTTGGCAATTTCATGAACCCTTGTTCCAGCTTCTCCAGCATCCTTTAAAAAAAAAAGTAGCAGCACTTGCTCCCCTGTCTGCTCTTTCCTTTTTTGAGATAAAATTGACCTATCATGTGTTAGTGGCAGGTGCACAACAGAAGGATTTGATATTTGTATATATTGTGACATGATCACAATGTCCATCATAGTCACCATGCTGTAGATCGCACCCCCAGGATTTGCTAATTTTATAACTAAGTTTCTGCCTTGAGACCCCCTTCACCCATTGGGCCCACCCCTCCCTTGCTGCCTCTCTCTGGCAGCTATCAATCTATTCTCTGTATCTCAGTGCAGATTTTGGGGTTTTTTGCTTTTGTTTTGTTTTTCTATCCCACATAAGGGTGAGATCTTACAGGATTTGTCTTCTCTCCTTCTGACCTATTTCACTTAGCACAATGCACTCAGAATCCATCAATGTTGTTGCAAATGGCAGGATTTTCTTTTTGATGACTGAATAATATTCCATTGTGTGTATATATACCACATTTTCTATATCCATTCATCTATCCATGGACATCTGCATGGCTTCCATGTCTATGATAAATAATACTTCATGGAACAAGGGGGTAGAAAATATCTTTTCAAGTTAGTATATTCAGTCCCTTCAGACAAATATCCACAAGTGGAATTGCTCATAGCGCTGCACCAGGCATTGTCCTGCAATAGCGTCGGGTTGCGAGCCAGGGCTGTGCTTCATTGAGACTGCTGCCCATCCTCTCCCGAAATTCTGCCTAACTCTGAACCGCATCCCCCTGCGGGCCATGTTTAAGCTTTTGCTGTGCATCGTGAACTGCAGCTATCACAGACAGCACCGCGTCCTCGTCCCCACAGCAGCCCCAGCAGAAAGGGACAGGCAGCCTGCAAACAGCCACCCCACCGGATTTAGCGTCCCTGTCATTACTTCTCAAGGTGTATGCCATGCCCATCTACCCCTCGTGTATACAAGGTCTGTCCAGAAAAAGTCCAGCCATTGTTAATATAATGAGAAGGGTTTGCATGACATTGATGTGACCTGGCAGCCAAGGAGAGTGGACTGGAATGCGCATGCGTGACAGTGATGACTTCACTGTACCAGTCAGTGGAGGTGGTGGACACTGCTGAGTGAGCATATGTACTGTGTAATTATCACATTCAAAATATCTGGGCAAGTGGAACAATGAATCTACATCAACTTTTGTGTTAAGCTTGAACATTCCTCTGCGAAAACTATTCAGATGATTCAGAAGGCCACGGCTGTGGGCACCTGGTGATTGGCAGCTTCATCACGACAATGCACCTGCTCATGCATCACGTCTCATACAGAGTGTTTTTGGCAAAACATCAAATCGCCCAGGTGACTCAGCGCCCCAACAGCCCAGATTTGGTGCCCTGTGAATTCTGGCTTTTCCCAAAACTAAAATCACCTTTGAAAGGGAAGAGATTTCAGACCCAGACCATGGATGAGATTCAGGAAAATACAATGGGGCAGCTGATGGTGACTGGGAGAACTGTGTGAGGTCCCAAGGTGCCTACTCTGAAGATGGCTGAGGCATCATTGTCCTATGTACATTGTTTCTTGTGTCTTGTATATTCTTCAGTAAATGTCTCTATTTTTCATAGTATATGGCTAGATACTTTCTGGACAGACCTTATCATATATCCATTCAAGAGCTCACCCCTGTACTCCTCCAACAAACACGGAGTTCTCCAAGAACAGCCGTCCCTTCTCTTCTGTGATTATATAATCGGGTCTGTATTGGGGGGAACTTCTCATTCCTCTTGAACAGTTTTTCCTCTTATTCTGTCAAACCACGCACGCAGCCTCACCATCTCCTCTCTGAACATTGGTTTTACCGGATTCTGAAAAGCGATCTGTTTTGGTCTATAACTTGGCTTTCTACCATCCTTGGAGAAGCTTTCTTTCTGTTTTAGCATATCCTGCCCCTTTAATTCCAGTTGGGAATGGAAGCTGACTTGTACTACTCATTTCATTCATCCTGTTCTCACTGACCTCCAGGCAATAAAGGAATTTTCCAACTTTGAGGACTTTCTTTCAATTATCATTACTTAACCTGAAATAGTGTCTTTAGACTTTACATTATTCTTTCTTGCC